CTGATATATAGTGGGGACTCTGATGTGAAGGGGGGCATCTGATGTGAAGGGGGAGCTTCTGATGTGAACAGGGGCTCCTGATTAGTGATGAGCCGAACACCCCCCTGTTCGGTTCGAACTTGAACTCAATGCAAGTCTATGGGTGTAGAACTTTGAAAATCAATTGTCTCCATTTTTAAGGCTTATATGCAAGTTATTGGCCATAAAAAGGGTATGTGGATTTGGGTACAGCCCTGGGGGACATGAATCAATGAAAAAAAACACTTTAAAAAATCCAATTTTTAAAGGAACAGTGATTTTAACATCACTTAAAGAGAAACAATAGAAATGAAAAATTATTTTAAATATCGTGCCTGGGTGGTCCCCTTAAACTACCTATAAAGTGGCACATCTGTACAATGACATTTATAAAGAAAAAAAAAAGTGTGTGGTTCCCCCTCCCAAACAATACCAGACCCTTTAGGCCTGGTAGGAATGTTAGGAGGGACCCCATGTAAAAAAAAAAAGTACGTGGGGTTCCCCCTCAGAGTCATACCAGGTCCTTAAGGTCTGGTAGGAATTTTAAGGAGGAACCCCACCCACAAAAATGAGGGGGGGGCGTGGGGTCCCCCCTAAAATTTCATACCAGACCCTTGATCAGAGCACAGGCCTGGCAGGGCAGGAAAGGGGGGGGGGGGACCAGCGATCGCCCCCTTCCCTGTGATACCAGACCACATGCCCTCGGCACTGGGAGGGTGGTTTTCCAGGGTTGCCCCTGGAAAAGCACCTTGTCCCCGTGTCAATGGGGACAAGGGCCTCTTCCCCACAAGCCCTGGGGTATTGGTTGGGGGTTGAAGAGGCCAGACTTTTTAAAAAATCCTTTATTTGAGAAAAAATAAATTAATTAAATGAAAAAAAAAGCTTTTTAAAAAATCTAATTTTTAAAGGAACAGTGATTTTAACATCACTTAAAGTGAAACAATAGAAATGAAAAATTCCTTTAACCAGTTGACATCCGCGGTGGGGGGGGTGATGTGAATAAGGCTCCTGATGTGAAAGAGGAGGACTCTAATGTGAAGGGGGGCTTCTGATGTGAAAGGGGGGACTCTAATGTGAAGGGTGTTTGTAATGTTAAGGGGACTCTGATGTGAATCCCACTTTTTTCTGTGTTTTTGCTTGTGGGTCTCTTCTCCGTATCTAATAGGGTCTAGTATGAGTTTGGAGGGACCACAAGTCACTTTTTACATGTTAGACTGGGGTGCCTCAAGAACTGTATACTTTTAACAATTGCCTTGACTGAAAAAAGGATGTGTACTTTTTTTTTAGCAGGCTGTTTGGTGAGTGTGCTGGGAATGTTTGTTTTTGTACTGAAAAAAGGTTGAGACGCACAGTTCTAGAGTACCCAGACGCAGAGGTAATTTTAAACATAAAACAAACTTGCTGCTAATCACCTTCCATATAACACTTTTTTAGGGATACAACAATATAATATGCTACTTGTGAGTTCGAAGTACAGAAATGTTACTCCAAGCCACTGAGGTTACTCTAGTTTCTGTAAAATAAACATGGTGAACGAGGTTACTGCCGGGCATACAGCCACAAGCAATTGGTATACTCTACAGTGCTTAGAAATTACTATAGAGTAGCATCTCATTATATATGGGGGGTCCTCATCATTTCACCAGAAGGATTGTGATGCCCCCCTCACCTGGGCACTATGGGCAGAATCTGGGGGGTAAAGTAAGTATATATTTTTTAATATGCCTATTTGGTATTGGGGTAGAGGCTCTGGTGTAATAAGCTGACTGTGCTTTTTAGTGCAATGTCCTCATTAGGATACTTCATGGCTAATCAGTTAGTAGTCAATATTTCCCAATACCTATAAACCTATAAACATTTACTCCACAATTTTACACCATATAACATGCCATACATAATAATATTGTAAATGATAACATGCAAAATGCATGACATATTTAAAAATAACAGTCCTAATGCAGGGCCCTGTATGTAACCCTACAATATAAGACGTGAACCCCAACTGATACATATACCATACGTGCAAGAAAAATCACTCACAGTCATAACATGGCCCCATTGGTTGGCCTTTATAGCTAATAGTTCAGTGATGATATCGATGATGATATTAGGTTTGATTCATTAAGAATCAATCAATTATAACTCCACTACTTATCTTACCTCATAATATTTTCTCCTAAAAATGTTTAATTCACAAACATAAATGTAATTTATACCATGTTGGTGGTGCATCCGCACTGCCGGCATCCTATCCAACCAGTGATGCCAGTGAGCTGGGCGGGACCATGGCCAGAGCTGGGACATGGGCCTCACTCAGCTCCTGGCAACCAGTAACATCACTGGTTACCAAGAGCTGGGTGGTGCGCAGGCCAGAGCCTGCCTCTGAGCTCTTGCCCAGGTGACCCAAAAAGGGGCTGCCTGAGGCAACAGCCTCAGACTGCCTCATTACAAGGTCGGCCCTGCACCTGTGTTTACATCAGTGTGCATGAGCCCTAACCAAGTTATAATACAGTTACTTAAAGAGTTGACCAAAAAAAAGCATGTTGAGCATGTTTGTGAATTTGGATCTGAGAGTTATGAAGTAAATAAGACGTGATGATAGTCTGCGTCCAATAGCCTGAATCCCTACCTGCAGGGCAGCCATCAGAAATTTTGGGGCCCCTTACACGGCATTAGGCCGGGCCCCCCCCCCACCCGCGCTGGACGCAGGGCTTAGTGACGCGCTGGACAAAGGACCCACCTGAGAGGGACCCTCCAGAGCCCACCATAGATGCTGCACAGCCCATCTGCGACTGTCTATGGTGGGCTCTGAAGGGGTCTCAGGTGGGCTGGTCAGGGCTGCATCCCTCCCCTCCCTCCTTTCCTTCCCAGCTCCTCTGACCTGCACATATGGCCTCGTCTGCCGTCGGACCGACCAGAAGTGACGTGACGTCACTGGCGTTACGTCACTTCCGGCCAGTCCGACATCAGACGAGCAGCGTCGCTGATGGGGCCCCAGCTTGTCTCGAAGCCGATGGAGCGGCTAGGGCACTGCTAGGGCCAGGCCTCCGCCTCCTCGCCCTTCAAAATCGGCCGATAGTCATGTAAGGGACCTGAGCGGGCCCCCCAGGCTGCCCGGGCCCCTTACATGAGTATCGGACGTACCCCCCTGATGGCTGCCCTGCCTACCTGTACGGATGTGCAAGTTCGGGTCGGTGCATAGCTGTGTGTAGCTGCATCCTGTCAGAGAGATATATAGATGGCTGCACATGGCTGCATTTAGCACCAGGTCGTACCGGACACAGGTTTCTGCAGGGCAAAGGCCTTTTCCACTCACTGTCTCGGGGACAACCTTTTCACCAAACAGGAAGTGAAGGAAACTCTCCAACAGCAGCTCAGACAGAAGTAAAAAAATTTCTTTTAAAGTTAAGAAAGGGAATGCGAGAACCCCCGTCATTTTTTATTGCTGTCTTTTTCATATATGCAGATTTCCCCTCAATTCCTGTCTGGTAAAACGTTGTCCCCAGAAAAGAAAATAAGACTATTTATGTGTTTTATATGACTGTATTCACACCTGAGTGTTTACAGGTTTTATTTGAGTGTTTTTGCACCTATTTTTAGTCGTATTCAGGCTTGAGCGTTTTTGTTTTAGGCAGTGGAAGGCAGGGTCCTAGAAGATGGTTGTTTAACCTTGAAATTTTTTTATTTTCCAGCCATTTTCAGTCACTTTCATTGAAGTCTATGCAGCCAAAAACACCCCCACTTTGCTTCTAATATAGCTTATGTACTGTTTTGAGTTTCAGGCCTTGAGCTATAGATGCCTGAGCGTTCATATGTGAACATCATTTAAAATCATGGGATTTTGGTTGTTTAGTGTTTTGAAGATTTGACCTTCCAGTTACAAGACACTCAGGTGAGAATCAGGGTTAATGGAGCCCCGAACATTAGTACAACCCAAGTTCTAACCCTTTCCCATTGTTTTAAGTTTTGTTTATAAATACACTTTAAAATCAGCTTACAAAATAGACAACAGTGAAAAAAAATCTTTTTTATTTGTATTTTGGTAGTTGTTGGCCTGCAGCAAATATAGGACCATACTGCCCTCCAGTGGCAGTTAGCTAAAATACATATGTAATGCTATCCTCAATATATCTATATACACTGCTTCATACATGCACAGAACACAGATCTGTCATCTCTGCAGGAACCCATTGAAAATACAATGGCACATTTAGAAAATTCTGAAAACATTTCTGCTAATAAAGGTCATGCAAGTTACAATATGTTTTGTGTACTGTGCACAGCAACATGAAATTAAGGTGTTAGGGTAAAAGAGCATCAATGTAGCTGATGATGGTACAAGTGGAGAAACATTGCAGTAAATTGTAATATTATTTCTAGTGGGTTGTTGTTAAAAGATTTAAATGCATTTTCACACTGAGAACATTACAGGTCGTTCCACCCTATAAGTGAAAAATGATGTCTGTTGGGTTGAGTCATCCTCTGGATTCTTATATGGCTCTTTGGCACTCAAAGGGCCAGATCTCCCTATACTAGTTAGTTGTGTTCTTTCCTACCTGAAAGCTTTGAGTTTTCTAGTTCCCTCCCGTTGAATTCTCCACTATATAATGTAAGGTAAAATAATAACTCAACAGGGAGAATAGGGACCAGTTCTAATAGCCTTGTTCATCATTTGTCTCAAGGACGAGAACAGCAAGAATAACCCTGACCCAGGGAACACAAAACAGATTCAAACTTTCATATTTTCACTCCAGTTCAGGTTTGAAAATAATAGGTGAATGTCAGAAAACATAGAGCAGTTCTTAGACTAGTGATACACAATATAAAGTTTCTTCTTAACAACTGCAAGACTTCAAACTATTCTGCGGTTATCCCTACAGGACTATTGTCAGAGATTGTAGCTTTCATTGTTGCTTCCCAGGCACACAATGCAGCATTCGCTTTTCCATTTATTCATGTCCATAGCAGTTATTGATTCTTCATCACCAATCCTGGCTTGATTTTTGCTTAATGAACCTGAGACACAAGTAATACAGAAGGAGAAAACCAGCACAGATGGCAATGAGTGTAAGAAAGGAGACGTAGAGCGGATAAGTATCCATCTCCATACTTTTCAAAATCTATAAGGAAAGAAAAACAAGGCTTAGTATTAACACTCACTGATTATAACCATGTGATTGTTTACTCATTTCAGTCTCACATGTTATTTTTCAAGATCAAATCTTAAAGTGATATTTAAAGGAAAATGTTTTTTAAGCTATTTTAAATGCTGATGAAATCACTTACAATGGATGCTGCTCCTTTATGTTTAAAAGTTTTAATTTCCTGCAGAATCAGCTGGTCCCCTGAGCACTGGCCCTGATATCCTGTTTTAGGGTGGCTCCTTTCCCTTACTGGGTACTATGGAGCCACCCTTGTGTGTGCTAATAAGCTGTGTCTGTCTCCATAAACAGTTTAGAATGTAGATGTTTAGAATGTAGATGTCATCAGCACACCAGCACTACAGAGACTCATAAGTCAGTGCAAATACATTTAATGATAAATGTCACTAGGAATGTCAAGCGCTTTTAGGGGCCACACAGGGTCCCCTTCATCAGGCTCAGAGTTTTTATTTTTTTAATTTATTTTTATTTATTAATTAATTTTTTATTAAATATTTTTATTTTTTACTTTACTTTTAGGGGCTTCGGTGAAATATTAGGGGTCTAAACTGACCCCTGATATTTCCCTTTTAAAATAGAAAAAGTCCTGATCACTGATCACTGAGTGTTTGCTCTCCTCTCTGACACGCTGTCACAGGAGGCTGAGCAAGTGTTGCGGGAGGAGAGCTCAGCCTCCTGTGACATCGCTGTCTCCGCCCCCACACCGCTCTGCCACACTGTGATAGGCGGCCGAGCGGTGTGGGAGGAAAGACACCGGCCGCTCACAGCACTCTCCTCCCGCAGTGCTGGGCCAGCTGTGACTCTCTTCCACCCCCCCTCGCTGTGACACAGAGCTGCGCCCAGCGGGGAGGAAAATAACCTATAATAATTATTATTATACAGGATTTATATAGCGCCAATAGTTTGTGCAGTGCTTTACAATATAAGGAAGGCATTACAATCACAATACAGTTCAAGGCAAGATGGTAAGGAGGGCCCTGCCAGTGAGGGCTTAAGTCGATAAACAAAATGGCTGGCTTTATTGTACCTTCTCATTATCTTCCCATAGCCTGATCCCCAAATTGAATAAGGTACCTAGCCTACAGTGTACAAGCTCCAGGCAGAGGCTAGGGAGGTGAAGAAGGTAACTCTCATGTACTATAGCAGAACAGGATGGCTCTAGAGTAAGGAGATGCCGTACAGGGGTCCTATACTGCAGTAAAGTTGGCTGCTTACTTCTGCTGTCCAGTTTATTTTTATTTAAGCAGTGTATTTCATTTTGCATCATATGATCTGGTGGAGGTGAACTTCAAATATTTTAGCTCAGAAGATATCTTACCATTTCTCCTTGAATAGGAAGAGTGATATTTTGGATTTGGATGCTGTATATAGTACCCGTAAACTGAACCTGCATGAGCCCTGCAAAGCTCCAACGCATGAAGGACACAAAGGAGATCCAGTAAGGGACTGCAAATAACAAAAAAAAAACAATTAACAGACTGTGAGGCAGTGTGTAATAGTTGTGTCACAAAACCATTCATCCACAACAGACAATATAATATATTGCATAAAAAATTCCTTTGCAAAAACTCAAATACTTAATTGGCATGTGTGAAATTGAGAGTTTTGGCTTTGCCAAGGTTTTGGTCAAATTTGTCATTTGGCAAAAAGCATTGGAGTCAATAGGGAAGGTGAAATTATGGTAGATTTTTCGATAGGGGACTTTTTTGTCTACCAATGCCACATGCAGGCTAATTTCATAAAATTCCAGCTTAGCAAAGGCTGCATGGTACTTAAAAAAAAAAACAATGGGTTAAGCATTTTGATTTACAAATGGACTTTATGCAAAAGTACTTTGTGCCTTTGGGGAGGTCCACTGCAAACTGGTAAAAGCAAATTGCACAAACCTGGAGGGGAATTGAATTCTAATTGGGACAGCAATAAACAAACTACTCTATTATAATAAGAAGATGGAGATGTTTAACCTAGATCTACCCAAACAAAACCCCTATTAGGACAAATCACAACCCTATTAGGACAAACTTCACCCACACCCCCCATGACTAGACAACCTGAAAGTTCCCATCCTTGATAATAGTTTGATGCGTTACTAGGAGAGGAAGCGGTAAACTTTGTATTCGATGGTAAATGCTTGATGCTGCCCAAACCCTCCATCAGGGCATGTGTAAAGTCCCCCTGTTACAAGTGTGAGTATAGGGAAAATGCAGAAGCACGATGCAAGGATAGAGGTGGACTGCACCAGGGCTACCAAGCATCAGAAATTAGCATCAGGAATACAATAATTCACACATGCCCAATTCACTACTCCCAGCCCCCTCTTTGTAGTTTAAACTGCAGTTGCCCTCCTCCATTAAATAAGATTTATAATGATTAACAATGTAGCATTTCCTCTAGTTGGAAAAGCCTACCTGTCCAGAGATTATCCAGTCTAATAATGAATCCTCCAGTCAGATAACTAGCTGTAAAGATAGCATTGCTGAGGAAGGAGGACATCTGTAGGGTGGGGAACAATGCGGACATCCACAGAGCCATGGTACGGCTACAGTAAACCACCAGCCACATGAGAACAAAGTTTAGGAGGAAGTTTTCTGGTAAGGGGTTCAGATTTGACAACCAGTATATGGGCACGCTGTAGAAAACAATGAAAGCAAAGTGTTCTGGGAGCTCACCAATGACCTGGAAGACAAAATTAGAGAATCTGGCATTTCAATACTTCACTTGAAGAAGCTAGAGAGAATTCATATAATCAGATATGACAAACATACACTGGAAATGTTTATCTCAGTTTCAAAGCAGTGGTAACAGACTAAACTGCACAAGGTTCTTGAGCAATTTATTAGTTTGCTCCCCCACCCCCCTTTTGACATTTGTAACTGTTGTTTTATATACGTGCTTCAACTTAGCTTGATACAGTGTATACGTGAGCCAACAATACAGACATTTGGTGCCACCATGGTCTGTTGCCATGTTGCCACTGATCAGAGTAAATAAATAAATAAATGTTGGAAATGCAACAGCATATACTGATAATTTGTCTTTCGATAGATGGCGCTCTAGTGCAATGTTAGTCTCTCTATATGCATGCTTATCTATGATACACAGGAGGTTTTCCTGTATATATTGTATGTTTCCTGCACAATGCTGTATTCCTGTATACATTACATATATACAATGTTCTTCTAAGCGAGTAAAACCTAATTCAGCATTCCTTAAGATCTCAGTGCTTCATCTAAACACATAACCAACAATAAAAACTTAGATTCACTAGTCCATTCCTAGTCATCAGTAGACATGTGCGATTCATTTTGTTCCAAATTACAGAAATAAAGAATCCAAGGAAAGGCCCCTCCCTCCACTGTATCAGGCCACATGCCCTCGGCATTGGGAGGTTGCTTTTTCTTTTACAACGGGGCCACCCAGATGCCAACCCACTTGTGAATGAGTAAGGGGTAGTTGTAACCCTACTCATTCACTGAAGAGTAGGGCTGGTAATGGTCAGCTTTTCATTGCCATCTGTTTCCACTGTTTGAAGTTTAACCATTTCTATCTGTCCTGGTGAACAGGACAGAAAGTGATGGTAAATTTAAAACAAGCTCAATGTTGGGACAAAAGATAAGCCACTCAGCAGTAAGAATTGTAGTATACTTTGAAGATGTCTGAGAATCTTACTTGTCTTTTAAATGTTGCTTTAAAAAAAAAAAAATAACAAGAATCTTTAAATAAAAAATAAAAAAGTAGACGATGTATTGGAACATTGAATTTACCTTAGCAAAAAAATAGGGAGTAATAGAATATAATCCGTCTTCCAGCTCATGATAAAGCATTGCTCTTTCTGAATGACCTGAAACAAAAACATTTAACGATTATTTCAGTTTTTACAGGGGCTGTCCAGAGTTTACCATTTAATGTTTTTTTTCCCCAGTATAATATTTGGTACTCTGTAAATGTGGAGGGGCAGTCAATAAGATATTTGCTATTTACAAAAAGGTAGTCATGTCTCTGAAGGCAAGCTTGAGTGCCATTATACAAAATTATACCTTATATATAAAATAAGCTGATGTGATTTCAGGTTGGGCATTTAATCATAGGTGACCTATCTAGATGCTCTTTTGTAAGGAATGGAGCTGATTCTTTTTCTGTTGAATTAAAATTCAGTAGCACAGCAGTAAGGCTGGGTTCACACCTGCGTGTGGTGGGAAGATGCTCCACGTTCATGTGTGTTTTTGTGCATTTGTGTGCCACGGCTGCTGCACCTCCCCATTGATTTAAATGGGTTCATATACACCTGACAAACACTGCAAAAAAGCTCATGTACCGTGTTTCTCCAAAAGTAAGACCTAGCACTATTTTTCAAGATTCCTGAAATATAAGACCTACCCCGAAAATAAGACCTAGTTTGGTGGTAGCATGTGAGGGGGAACTTGCAGGAGAGATGGTATCCGCCTGCAGGGACATACTGTATTAAGGCAATGACAGGGGACTCCTTCCGGCCAGCGCAGTACCAGGGAGCACTCCAGTACCATACTTCACCAACTGCTGTCCCCCCTGAAGGCACTGCTTAATGCAATGGTACTCCAATGTGTAACGGTAAATTGTTTACCGCGCTGTCCACTGTCTGATGTCCCCACTGCTGCACCACTGGTACCGTTGGCAAAGGAAGCCGGCGCTGTAGAAAGCAAGGCTGCGGCGGCGGAGGGTGCAGAGCCACATTAGCCGATACTTCCTCTTTAGCGCTGGTTACTGCGACAGGCGGAGTGATACCAGATGCACTCCGCCTGTGAAAATGAAAGAAATGGATCAGCATTAAAAACAACATAAGACATCCCCTGAAAATAAGACCTAGTGTGTTTTTTGGGGGCAAAAAAAATATAAGACAGTGTCTTAATTTCGGGGAAACACGGTAGTAATTTGCGCGACACGTGTTCTGTGTTTTTCGCTTCTGCGTTTGTGTGTGTTTTCATGGTCGCCAACACAGAGCAAAAACGTGCATCTTGCTTGCCACGTTTGGGGTGCCATTAGAAATGGCACGCATTCCTGGAACACGCAGGTGTGAATGGGGCTTATACTTGTCACCATGTTCCTGCTCCAGCAGGAGAGTCTTATTCCCATCCTCTTTTACTACCCTTCAATGACACTTTAATTTAGTGTAGAATGTGCTGGCCACCATAAAACAATCCTCTACTCTAGAGCTGTGTGGGGAACTTACAAGGTCACCATGGATTACAGTGATGTTTCCTTATACATCATCTGCACTTAGTTATGTGACATCCAACATCACATATCCAAGTGCATAGGATGCAAAGGAAGAACGTTTTCCTACTGAGCTCTTCTGTGGAGGAGTGTGCCTGATCAGTGCAACTTTGCATTAAATGCAGGTTTTATTGCGGGGCAATAAATGAGCCGTATAAAGAGGGCCAAGTAAGGGGCGGGGGG